AAACAGTTACTCAAATCACAAGCAATGGCGATTGAGAAATTTCCTATAGGCAGCACTGAGGTTTAATAAAGCTGAAAGATTTTCTTACGAGGAAGTAATTACTGAGAAAACTGTACCCAAGATATTTTGACTTACAGCCTTTTCGTATATTTTTCAAAAAAAAAAACCATTTTTCTTGCAGCAACAGGCCGGGAAATAAAAACACGTAAGAGAGAAAATAACTAACTTGAATGAGATTAATGCACATTGAGAGTAAAGCAAGTCCGATAAGTATCAAAAGGAAATATCCGAGCATCATATCTTTGTTACCCGGTACAATATCGCCCAGCCCAACCGTACTGCAATTTGCTGAAGTGATTTTGTTGCATGACATACTGTAAAAAAAAGAAAAGAAAAAACGGAATGTTTTGTAGTCAGGATGGAAAAATTTTATAGTCAAAGTGTTATTTGTCTCAAAAATTTGCAACGATTTCACGCACTCTATGGGATTTTAAACCCTTGTAGCTTCATTACAAAAAAGAGCCATGAGGGCTACTCGTGAATTTGCGTTATAACGGCTTTGTAATTCACGGACTGAAAGAATTTATTCACACCCTCATCAACAAAACACTTCCAATTTAATCTGAAAATCTAATAAAAACCTGTTAAGATAGCAATGTTTTATAGTTTTTGCAAAAATTGCCTTTTTTTTCTGGTCATTTGTGAAAAGCTGTGTACAGATGATTGCGATAACTTATGCATACATGGATTAAAAAACTAAAGGTTTGCCGAACTGCTCTTTGCTCAGACGAGGAGGGGAGCAAACGCTGGCCGAAAACTCCTTCAAATACCTTACTTCCTTATAACTACGTTCTTTTTTTCATCTCAAACACAAGAATATTCTTGGCATTTTTGAAAAAAAAAGGTTTACCCTGTTTAAAGAAATCTCAGAAGAAAAAAACCAGTGATGGAGCAGCTAGACGGTGAATGCAGTTACAGGATTTCCAGTACCACTGTTAGGATTTTTATAAAAAAGAGGCAGAGAGAGAAAGAGCGGTACTGAAAAGGTTACAGAAAGAGGCCAAAAAACTTATTATGACAAATTTAGGAAATTTCATGCATTATGGAACATTTTTTTCTTCATCATTAATTTACCCCAGTAATAAGTACTCTTATTACTATCACGAATCTAAATTAAAATAAAGTCTTGACAGTAATACCAATTTTAGCTTTGTATCCTGAAGGGGAGGGGACCTGGTATTATGCTTTTTCTCCAAGGCTATTCCCAGCTTCAGCAGCTCTATTGAAAACCCACCATCCAGAATGCAGGTGAATATTTCATGCCTCAAGGATTAAGTTTAAGAGGGAAAATCATGTTTCTCACATATTACCGTACACTTGGTGGTTTCGTCGGCCTTTTTTTAACCGCTTCCGTTGAGCCGTGAATTGTAATCCGATGTACTGTATTTGCAACAGAAAACAATTGAGATTTTCAGGCCAACATGATAAATACTTCTTGTTTAGGATTAATGCAATACTTAGCAATGTGTGGCTGACCTTATTGAAACGAAGAAAAAGTAGACAGAGGTGAGATATCCCCATTCCTGCTCATACAAGCAGAACAGGGCTGCTGAAAGACCAATCCAGAGGATGAGCATCGCTAAGGCAATTGGAATCGGGAAGGCATTCTCATGGCTCCTGAAATTCTTTTTATTTCAACAATTCGGCTGAAAAGCATAACCTACTAACAGACTGTACTAAACTCGATGTTGCATTCGACATTCTTTGTAGCACGGATGAAAGCAGTACTTGTCACGAAATATAAATCAGATGGAATTTTTTATTACCATTATTTTAATCGATTTACAATGCGCGAGGTCCAGTTGTGGTGCTCAACAGGATTATGTGCGGCTTAGTGAACCGAAACATTCCTGTTCCTCCGATTATTTTTAATACACTTTCATATTTTATGCATTTCAGTATTAATGCCTCTATTACTTGCTTTTTTCATTTTATTTAATATGCCAA